CCCCTGTGCAACTCCCAGCCCCGCATGTCAAACTTTAAATCGATAAAATCGATAAAAGTAATCGATAATTCTGGAAGCTAATACTGTATTCGTAATCAGCATGTTGATCACCCCCTGTGCAAACTCCCAGCCCTGTAGCTCAAACTTTGCAAAAATCAATAAAATCGATAAAAGTAATCAACAATTCTGAAAACTAATATAGTATTTGGAATCTCCACGCTCACTTACCCCCTTGTGCAAACTGCCAGCCCCGCAGGTGAACTCTGCAAAAAATCGATAAAAATCGATAAAATCGATATCGATCGATGACGAAAGGTAGCCTATGACACCCGCCGGGGCCCGTAGTGTATGTTTGCCAAGTCTGGTTCGAATCGGTTCAGAAATTTTCTATTCGGAACATACGTACAGACAGACATACATACAGACAGACATACAGACAGACATACAAACAGACATTCAGCTTTATACAGGGTGTCCGTAAAGTATGTATACACTGTGATTGTTAATATCTTTCTTCCCAACAAGTCTGTTGCCTTGCTTCAGCTACCGTTTTTAGAGCTGGCTTCAACTTACAAGGGAAGCGTCATTAGTCGAAGTGGCCTTTCCAGATGAATCCCATACTGCTTTGAAGAGCATTAAGCGGTGATTCCAAATCTGCCTTCCAAATCTGCCAAGCACCTCTGGCCACCGAGTTATGACCATTTTTTGAAACGAAAAATGAATGTAGAATCTAGGCAAAATCGATTGTTACAATCTTTTCAGAGCTCAGATAAAACAATGTTAAGTGTTAGCATATTAGACTAAATGTATCCATTGCACAAACGGCTCTGATACTTGACACTGGACCATTGGAGTAAATTTGGGTGATTTTGTTCCAGTTTTGCGTTCAATCTTTTGACCTAAAAACGCCCATAACTCGGTGTCCAAAGGCGCTTGGCAGATTTGGAAGGCAGATTTGGAATCAACACTTGATGCTCTTCAAAGCAGTATGGGTCTCATCTGGAAAGGCCACTTCGACTAATGACGCTTCCCTTGTTAGATTTGCAGTATAAACGAATCACCCATCTTTCTTCATTATTGTAGGATTACGGTAGAAACTTCAAGGAGGGTTTTGAACCGTGAAAGGCCACATTTTGTTTCAAAGAGGAAACAAAACAGCCTGAAAGCTTTTACACTAGGCTAATTAGAGTTGCTGATTACAACTGTAAAGTTCCCAACTTGTTATGATGCTTCACTGAAGAGTTATGCCGGGTAAGAGGTAGCGGACATCTTTTCAGTGTTACTAAAAAGTGCGGTCACACCGTTTAGAAAGCTTCGCAATCTTGTGAATAGTTGAATATTGAACTCTGCGTCCATAAAAACCCTATTACATAAGTTTTCACCTTTTTTTGAAAAAATTTGAGGCGGCAGCTTTTTCCACATTGACACCATATGTTTCAAGTTCCTACCGTAATCCTACAGTAATCAAGAGCGATCGGTGATTTGCTCCATACTGTAAATCTAAGTTGAAGTTAGCTCTACCAAAGGTACCTGAAGCAAGGCAAAAGACTTGTTGGGAAGAAAGATATTAACCACCAAACAGTGTATACATACTTTACGGACACCCTGTATATAAGATCAGTGTTCTTTTAGTACGTTTGAGCGTAGCATTAGCGCTCGAATTATTTTAGGGAGGATGTTTTGTAATCACCAATCGCTTATTTCTTACCGAACTCCAGTCCTAGATGACAGAAAAGAAATGTGTTCATGCAGGATTGAGGATAAGAAATAAAGATTAGCTCGTTTGAATTAGCATTACCAAGTACCAATTTAAACCCTTCTAGTCCAAGGTTCTATAAAACAAAATACTAGATATTCTTACAAACAGTTACTACATTCGTAATCAGCATGTTCGATTACCTCCCTGTGCCAACTCCCAGCCCCGTAGCTCAAACTTTGCAAAAAATCGATAAAATCGGTAAAGGTAATGGACGATTTTGAAAACTAAAATTGTATTCGTAATCAGCATGCTCGATTACTTCCCTGTGCAAACTCCCAGCCGCTGAACGCAAAAAAACGATAAAATCGATAAAATCGATATCGATGGATGACGAAAAGTAGCCTATGACACCCTCCCCGCCTCGAATTGTATGTGTGCCAAGTTTGGTCCGGATCGGTTCGGAAATGGAATTTTCTATTCGGAACATACGTACACACATTCAGATAATTGCCGGGGGCAGGCGGCCATGCGATTTATGGGCGGGTGGGCACCGAAAAAATAGTTCGCTGATTTCTTGCGGTCCGATTGCAGATATGTGGAAGAATTTTAGCGAATTTTTAGACGAATGCTTGGAGAACAATCGCGGTTTTCTTATAGATTAGCTGCGGCGCAGTGGCCGCATTCTCGCGGACTTTCCAAATATGCAAAATTTTGGGGGGCTGCACGGTTCTTTGTGGGGACCGCGCAGCCCCTAGGCACTTTCCGCTGAGAAAGTACCTCAAACTTGAGTAATTAAACCAACGATGACCTCTGCCACACGAGTCTTACCTGTGTTCGGCGTATGCCCGAAACTGCTTAAAAAGAGTCCGACCGCTCACTGAAAGTTTGGCCAGGGCTCGCTAAAAGAAATTATTTGCCGAGCGCTTGCAGAAAATGCTGTATTGCTGCCCGCGGCAGAATATGCGACCGTAAAGGAAGTACCGCTCGCTGAAGGTTTGGCCACTCCCCAAAATTCTGCTGACCGCTTGCGGAAAAGCGCGAGTTTGCGGACCGCCTGTCTCCGGCGATTATCTGAGCGGACAGACATACATACAGACAGACAGACATACAGACATAGAAACAACATTCAGCCTTATATATAAGATTCTCAATGATTTATTTGCATGCTCTATAGTTTCCTCGTTGTTTTATATTGCTCATGAAGATTATACAAACGTATGTACTCCCTACAGCCTGGCAAAAGTTTGCGTCATAGAGGATTTGAGTTCTGAGCTTCTATAGCCGTGCCCTTGCGCTATCTGCACTAACTACGCATTGACCGTACGCTTTCTCATATGGAATTACAAGTAGGCAACTTTACGCTTACGTAGGAGCCTAGGGGAAAACGCTCGTTACTTTTCTCATATTACAAGTGCCCTGCGTGCCTTGTACACCTGTGTTCGCTAGTAATTAGAGGAGAGTCGTTGCCAATATAGAGCAGTAGCTGCGCTGCGCTATCTGCTCCCATTATTCGGCGTCGGGCAAGCGCGCAAGTTTAGCGACAACAACGCGTTGTCATGCCCCAGTTTTGACTCGTTTTGGAGGGTCACGCCGTACCTTTTTACGTTATGACGAATTTGGGGGATTACTAAGAGCCAAGGTTTCATTTCGCCACCGTGCTAACCGTCCTGTTTCTGGTTATGGTAAGTGTGTCCCAAATGGAGTCAGACCGTACCGTTGACCAGGTTGGCGCGCTTGCTGTGCTAGAGGTTTGTGCTGCTATGCGCACTGTCGGATGGAGCGAAGAGATCGAAGAGAGAGCAGGCAATCAGGCCGTAGTTGTCACGCAAAACCTGAGTGACGCGGACACCGGCTATGCCATTTTGGCCTATTTGGACTGGGGTATTTCATAGAGTACGAAAATTTGACAGGATAAGAGCATTGGTTCACCGGTTGGCTCCGCAGGGCACAGTAAAGGCTCGCTTGCATTCAGTTGCCCCTTCGATCATGAATTACATAGAATGCCTTTGGCGCATGCCCTATAATGAAAAATCCTTTGCCTTTTATTATTTTATTGAGATGCTTCATTGATTCTTTTCTAATATCGTCCAAATCTTCATTCAACTACGAAAAGCTCTTGATCCTGTTCTTCAGAATCAGTGTTTATAGTGTAATGCAGTAACAACTACTAGAGATTGTAAGCAGTCGTGTGCTAATCACTACTTTAACCACGATGTGGTGTTAATGAATGGCCGCATGCACTAACATCCAGCTTCGTATTCTGAAGCTCCAGATATCTGGATTTCGCGCTATCTACCTGTCCGTAAGTACTCCTACTATCCTTCACTGTGAATATGTTGAACAGGAGCGAGAAGCTGTACGAACCGCATTTTCCAGCTTTTGTATGATCCCATGATCCCCGGCGCTTTTCTTTGAAGTCATTTTTCTTTCTCCGAAGTTAACGAAAACCTTCCAAAGTTGTACTGAACATCTAACACAACTGCTAAGCATGTTGCTGATGGGAACAAATGAGTTCTTGAAGAGTCGATTTTTTTCGGCAAACCGCAAATTTCGAACTCTGGATCATCGAAAATTTCATGACTTCAAAACATCATTTGTTCTTATCAGCAACATGCTTAGCACTGTTGGGTTAGATAATCTGCACAATTTTGGAAGTTTTTCGTTAACTTCGGAGAAAGAAAAATGACTTTAAAGAAAAGCGCCTGGGATTATCAGGGATCACAAAAGCCGGAAGATGCGGTTTGTACAGCTTCTCGCTCCTGTTCGACATGTTCATAGTGAAGGATAGTAGGAATACTTACGGATAGGTACACAACGTGAAATCCAGATATCTGGAGTTTCGAAATATGAAGCTTCCTTTTATCACCTCCCCGCGGCGATGTTAGTGCATGCGGCCCCTAGAGTAGCAGGAACATCTAGTATCAAATATTCACTACAAAAGAGGAACAAAATTTTTCGGACAAAAGCGCGAATCGTGCCGTGATCCCGTCAGTTATAGCGCCGCTTCGTATCACTAGCCATTGTTTCTCAGATAATTGCCTCGAAATCTGAGTTGGCTGTATGTTGATTAAACTCGAAGATTTTACAAGGACATATCTAGTAGCCACCCTGCGCGACTTGCCCAGACACATCGCGACAAATTTCTCCTCCTCCTTCTTTTTGCTTGAGCAAAAGCTCAGCAAGATGGTCGCACGCGACGATAGCCTGTATATGCCCTAACACTCTAGGGTTGTGTGAATCTAATTATACTCGTCTATTTCTCATTATATTTTTGTCATATAGGTTCACATTATTTTTTCAGGGTCATGTATGCACTTCTCATAGCTATTGTGATTTCTCTCCTTATATTGCTTCTGCACACACAAAACTCAAACTGAAGCTCAAATTGTCCGCGATTGCAATTTTCATGTATAATGAAACCTATTTCATCAAAGTACATTACTGAATTTTCTGAATAAATATTTGAAAGAGTTTGAATTTTTCATTCTGCACGAGCAAGGAGTATGGTCGAGTGCAAAAATTGCTCCTATCGCTATAGTAGTCTAAACACCTGCGAGTGTGTTTGGCGCGCGGCTGTCGCAGTGGTCAGCGTGCTACGTTTAGTGTTTGCGCTATGACTCATGCAATCGGCAAACGCGCACCGTGCTCGCGCATCTTTCGCTTCACTAGCAAGATGCAGTAGTCTTTGATTTTTGTTTATCTTTGGTAATCTACACAGTGCATGAGAAACCGAGATAAGCTATGGAAGCTATAGATTGGGAGAAACTGCCTTTCATGCTCATAAAAGACGAGTGCCTCATCTCTACTTCGCAGAAGCTCGCATAACGGAAAGTGTTGAACTTAAAATCAGCGGCCCGGCAGAATTTCATTTTCCAGCTCTTCACCTTTTCGAATCCTTCTCGCCAAGAGGAACCCATACCTGGGCGTTTCAGCTCATGAAAAAAATGGATGGCAAAAATGCGCTCTTTCCAAAGCTTTTTAGGTTCGCATTCAGTGAAAATACGCTGGAAAAACCGCGGCCCGCCTTGTTCGTTCCAAATCCCCCCCCCCCCCCCCACTTCTGCATTAAAAGCTAACCTGGAAAGCTCTGGACATTTTACCATTTTCATGCGCTGAAAGCCCAGATATGGGCTTCTCATGGCGAGAAGGCTCCGAAAAGGTGAAGAGCTGGAAAACGAAATTCTGCCGCGCCGCTGCCTTCAAGTTCTAATAGCTTGCTTTTTACACAATTCCAAAGTTGCTTAAAGCTAGTGACCCTTAGTTGGGAATGAACCACTCTCGTTATTGGATATCACATGCTTAAAGTGCTGTAAATCATTTTTCACTGTAATCACGTGACGGGCAAACTCCACACAGCTTCAGATTAAGCGGTTATCATAAGTCGTAGTACTTGCTTAATCATTTATGATTGCTGATGCCAATAATAAACAGGTACCTCAGCTCTTGACGGCTAACGCTTTCAATTTCGGATGCGGAGTCTCAGATTTCTCAAAATTTCAACTCCGCTTTCGAGAGATCTTTGATTTGAACAGAAATGAGAGCAATGAGAAAACACGAAGGGTCAAAGGTTGCAACAGTGATTGTTAAGATATCGGTGTGCCCTGCATTAGTGCTCTATTGTGGTAGGTTTGACATCGCCGGGACTTATGAAAGCGTTAGCGATAGTGGACCGATTTTAGAGTAGTTCTTTTACCAATGCTGAGACTCCAATGGACACGAGAAAACTGCCAGCCGAGCGCAAAACTCAAACGGGCAGCCTACAGAGTTTTGCACTCGCACTTAATGTACGGCCTAGCAATCTCATGCAAATGTTGTCAGCAATTGTCGGCACTGCAAGAAGATATCGTCTGTTCCCCACAATTGTTCTTATAGGTACAACATCAACGTAGCTGCCTTTCGATCGTCTTAATATGTCCATTCCGAATAAGCGCTTTAAATTTGCTGGAGTGAACGTTCAACTTGTTGAAAAGGTTGAAAGGCAACCACGTTCTCAGACACTCGCCGGAGGTAGGCGGCCATGCAAAGGCAAGCGGGCACCGGAAAAGTAGTTTGCTGATTTCCCGCTTCTAGATATTTGAGAGAATGTTGGCCTTTTCAGACGGACGCTCAAAGAAAATCCACGGTTCTCTCATAATTTTAGCCGCGGCGTGGTGGCCGCATTCTCGCGGACTTTCCGCGAGAACATGCAAAATTATTTGAGTCGCATGATCCTTTGTGAAAGACCGCACAGCCCGTGAGTATTTGCCTAGAGCAAGTGCTCAAAACTCGGATTAGAACATCGCTGACATCTCCACCATATAGAGTGTTACCTTTGCTCGACGTATGCTCGAAACTGCGTAACAAGAGCCAGAACGCTCACTGAAAGAAATTACTCGACGACCGCTCGCAGAAAATTCTGAATCGCTGTCCGCCGGCAGAACATGCGACAGCAAAGGAAGTACCACTCGCTGAAGGAGTCACGCCCCAAAATTCTGCTGACCACTTGCAAGAAAGCGCGATTTGCGGATCGCATGCCCGCGGCGATTTTTTAAGTTGATGGTACCTATGGGAAGATGAAACATTTTTTTGGGATCAGTCGTATATCAACCGCTTGATACTTGCCTATCGACCGCTCCACAACTGCTGCTACCCTTGTTCTACTGTGACTTGCCGCGCACATGACTGACATGGTGAAGACGTGTGCATATCATGTTGACCTCGAGGTTACCAGCCAACACGTCGTTGCATATGTAAAGATGTAGCATGTTGCGACATGATATTGCATGTTGGCCAACATATTGGCCATGCATCTCAGAGATGCTTAGCAGAGGCAGAGCAATCGAGAGTAGGCGAACATAGGGTGTACCAAAAGTATGTAAAACCGGCTCTTAGATTCGTGTAGAGTATTGCAGACTTTGCCTGATAACAAGGATAAACTTGTTAAACTAGCTCGTTATAACATTCTTTTCGTACTCTCTCGCTAGCAAAAACCGCTACGCTGTAAGTTGGCAAAACTCAACTTCCATACGAATGTAAAAGTCGATGTTAAATACTGTATCCTCGAGTCATTTGTGACTTAACCATTAAGATCTCTTCACAAAACGTTTGCTGTCCTTTACCAATCTGTACAACAGACTCAGTATAGATTTATTATATGAAAGTCTTTGCTGCTTGCTTTACACTACTGTAGGATTGCCGCGATAACACTCAGCACACAGCGCCGGTGTATTTGGAAAAACAATCCCAGGATTCAGGATTTTCAGCAGTGTTTTCAAGCCTGCTTATTCTGTCACACAATTTTTTTGGAGTTTTCAAGTATTTTCAATCGTTGATTAAATTTCTGACGTTTTTGCTCTCAAAAAAAAACATTGCTACATGGTACGTAACGAGCATTGCGGAATGCGAATCATCCTAAAGTCAACGACTTTGGTTACCTTAATGTGAAAATTTTCGTATCAAATTTCTCTATCAAAGGCAGTAACTCGGGAAAATTGCGACTGCGGGCTTTCCACGATTACATGGCCTTCTGGACCAGCTGAGTCCGATACTGCGCTTGAAAGGTCAAAAAAGTGCTTTTTTGGCGTTTCCGGGCCTTGGAGATTGCTGGAGGGACGGAGCGAGGGATTCACCCCAAAATGAGCAACCGGATGCAGGAGACTGTAATTTCACGGCCAATTATATCGCAATGGCTGCCTAGGCTGATCAGCCAATTGCCGCCAAAAGAGGTGGAAGTTACAGTCTCCAGCAGCCAGTTGCTCTTTTTAGGGTGAATCCTCTCCCCGCCTCTCTAGCAATCTCGAAAGCCCGAAAACGCCAAAAAAGCACTTTTTTGACCTTTTAAGCGCAGTACCAGACTCAGCTGGTCCAGAAGGCCATGTCGTGGAAAGCCCGCAGTCGCAATTTTGCCTTTAAGCAAAAGGTGCCCTCAATCGTTCAAACTTCTCTCCAAAATTTTCACCATAATCAATAGTAAAGAATGACCGTTTGCTTTATGTAATAGATCCAGCTCTACACATACTATTCAGACTTCAGCAAAAGACTCGGCGGGAAGAGATAAAACGTATAGCCGCAACGTTAGTCGAATAAAGATACCATCGCAATGTACAGCTCAACAGGTCACAACAAGCAATTTTAATATGCCGAGACTAAGCGACAGTCGAATATGAATAATAGTGTGCATATCAAACTTTCAAGACACCCCGTACAATCACTCTTAGGTTCGGATGATAAAGTACAGATTTGGCAGCTCCTGGAAGTTCTCTATCGAGAGAGTTTGGAAAGCAATGTTGTAAAGTGGAGAGTGCTAATTTTATCAGCGTATGAAATGTCCGCAATGCCTCGCCTTTTTCTACTCAGACACTGGGAGCGGGCGAGCCGCGGCCCAGTTCCAGCAATCGCAGCTCCCGCGGGCCGGCCGTGAATGGACAGTCGGCCCGGGCGTAAATGAGCCGCGGCTCGCCCGTAGTGGGCCGGGAAAGGGCCGCGGCTCGGCCGGGAAAGGGCCGCGGCTCGGCTGTATTAGCTTTTACTAAATCGTTCTAGCACTTCCAAAAGTGGAAATTTTAGCTGCTTCTTTTAGCACATGAAAACAACAGAACAATCACATATTCATGACATCTCATTTATCTTCTGTGTCCAGAATACACATAAGAAAAAGTCACAATCATGAACAGAGAATCAAACAATCTACAAAAAATGATGATATCCTTATTGCGCTGTTCTACTCCCATTGTTCTCAAAGGCGCAAGTTTGTTTCGTCATCTACCATCTCAATGTTGTCTTCGGCAGCATCGACCAACGCTTTTCTTTTCTGTCTCTGAAATATTTGGATAACGCTGAAGTAGCCAATATAATATTAGGTTGGCACATAAGTTTTGCAACTTTTCCCGTAACTATTTTCCTAATTTATGTAGCAATCTCATTTTATGGCATCATGTAGATCGTGATGTAAGCTACAAGTCTGCCTAAGTGGTTTGATTTTTGATAATGTAGTACAAAAAATTTAAGCATTTTTTGAAAACTGCTGAAAATCGAGGTTTCACGGTTTTTTGGCAAACATGAAGCCCTACGAAACCTGATTCAAACATATGAAAAAGCAATTATAGGCAGCATGTAGCTGGAAGTTGGCACATTGGAATCAGTGAAAAAGAAATGAATTTTAAACACAAATTAAGGTGGGGCGCCTTTGAGAAGTTGAACAAGTCAAATGCGTCAAGTTTTGAAGGCAATTTGTCAATAACTAAGCTGCGAAAAGTCAGAATTCGCTATAACTTTGCATTATAAGGTAATCCTGTGCGGTAAACACGAATATCATATTCATTTGTCGCTAAAATAAAATTTATTTTTTGATCTCGCGATCGAGGCCTTTTTATGCGAAACGGATCTCATTTTTGTGATCAGCATGTCAAATAAGCCCTATAGGCCAAGTTTCAGCAAAATCTGATGCATTCTAAAATTTTTCCCATAGTACCGTAAACCTACCGTAATCCTCACATAAGGCGGTAAAATTCGGCAAAAATGTGTGCATTAGAAGCTTACATCATATTCCTTATATTGCCAAAAAATGAATGCGCTACGTTCAAATAGACAAAAGTTATATAAAAAGTTGCATTACTTATGTGCCAACCTAATATATACGACTCACATTACTTGCTCTTTCGATGTCCTCCTCGGGCACAGCCACAGTCTTCCTTTTCTGTTTCTGGAACATTTGAAAATCGCTGAAGTAGCCAAGTTTAGTATCAACTCACATTACTCGGGCTCCACGATTGTCATTCTCCTTGTATTTCGAAGCTCGGACATCCCCTTTGGAAGTCAAAGTTACTGATAATCAAATTAACTTCGTTTCACCACGTACAGGGCTTTCTGTAAGGTCTGATAAAGGTGTGGTCGCCATTGAGCTCGCTCTTATCTCATCTGCGAAAGCTCTTTCCTTCTTTCCTCTTCATTGTTTCCCAAGCTTTCGTAGAAGCTAAATTAGACAGTACACTAAATCTCTCTTAACTTTTGTAGAATTTGCAAGCACCTAGACGTTTAGACGCTGACCAAGACGTTCCTAGACGGACGCTGGAAAGTTGGGAGATTTTTGCGTGGCTGCCACTTCTTCGAGACCGTGGCTATGATGTTCAACTAAATCAATATATATAACCAGTGCGTCACCTCTGCTTCGCAGAGGCTCGCACTGGCCCTACTTTCTGTATGCCTAACTCATTCCCACATAATAATGACATTGAAACTCACCGAGCCATGCAGGCTATCACGAATGATTTGTAAACAACTACTCATTCCTAAGACTTTTTTGTGTGAGATCGGCATTTTCGCGTGGATGAACTCTTCCGAGAAGAATTAATGCGAATTTGAATCGGTTTTCAAATTTTTTATGCCCTGGTAATCGCCATAACTACAATAGTCACCGTGGGCTACATTCCTCTGCAAAAATCTTCTCAAACGATCAGATAATCTTGGCAAATTGAACATTTATGCAACTTATCCTTTTTGGCGCCATTTTCGTAAACTAATCAACTTTAGTTCAATTTTTTTGGGTTAATGTCCATGCTTGTACATTAGCTTGTCAAACATAACCATGACTTTGCAAAAAGTGTTGGTACCGGCCCAAATTTGCTGATCAGAAGCCAAGTGGATCCGTTTGACGCGCAATTTTTCAGATCCACTCAACGGATCCGCTCATGCTTTTGCATGGTGAGCTTTCATGCAGGTAGAGTGCTCTTTGCAAAATTTGGGCTTAGGACGTTGGCTGGAACACGCTCTACGAATTTCGTAACGGACAGACAGACACACGTACAAAAAGACGTAAACATTCTTAGCCCGTTATTATAAGTTATGATCATATATGTAGTCATGGTTAACTTCTGTAAAGAACACTACTTCTACAAATGGAGACTGCGCAGATATCTTCCAAGACTTTGTACAGTTTTCTACCCCGACTTTGGGCAGATTTGATTAATGCCCTCATCTTTCATTTCTAGAGTCCGGCCAAGCTTCCTGATTTGTGCCCTGATGATATCGCCCTCGAAGGTCAGGTTGATCTTTATTCGGATGTGAGAAAGCAGCGCATCACCTGCAATCTGCTTGCAATTGCGTTTAATCTCATTTCCTCTACCGGGTCATCCACATTGTCAATCCCATCAAAAACCATTTTCTGGGCTCGATTAGCCACTTTAGATCTTGCGAATCCCTACAAAGATTCATACAGTTGTCACGAAAATAGCGGGAAGAGATCAAAGGAGCGTGAGGTTTAGAGAAGAGAGAAGCGGATTAGTATGTTGAAGGATCGGAGGTGGCGGGCATTAATCATCGAAAGCCCTCGGCATTTTTGGTTGAAGCCAAAACACCTATGGTATGATCTATGATTTTCTATACCTCAAAGTTCATAATTTACTCACATCATAAGCTCTCTGATTGAAAGTGTGACATTTCTTCTTCTCCAGTATCAATTTGGCGGCCTTATCCATGTGAATTGTGCCCCGGCTGATACAGTCGTAAAGGGATGACACTGATTCCGTTAATAACCTTCTTGGCTGTTCGGGAGAGTGCGAGGTTCTTGCGACTGTTCCTAAATGTGCTTTAAGTGCTACCCTTGCTCGTAAATTCTTCCTACCTGGCTTGACTCTAGCAGGAACGGTGCTGTTACGAGGACGAAACATGTGCAACGAAAAATGTCCAAGCGAAAGAACCGAAGAGCACCAACGCTCTTGTTGAATGGAAACTACCTTCGTCAATGATCATTACGAGATCATGACTAACTTGTTAATTTGCGTATCGCTGGTCAGGTAAGCAAAGCAAAAGCCGCGGGTCGGCCGCTGCAATGAACAAGGGCAGCGGGTCGGCCGTACTTAGGACCACGCCTTCAAATTAGGGCCGCGGGTCAGCCGCGATCTGGCCACGCCCTCAAAATAAGGCCGCGGGCGGGCCGAAAAGGCCTTTTAAGGCCGCGGCTCGCCCACTTCCAGTGTCTGAGTAGTTCGGTCATAACTGAGAAAATGAGCACATGTGCACTTATACTTCTCCCCTCTGCAACATCATCAGTCCTTGTTATTGCTTTACAAATCTGGGTATTCAGAGCTTACGACCTCACTTAGTTGCATACGTTCCACACTCGACCTTCTCCATTTTTGTGACCGCAAGTATCAGTTCCCGTCAAAAATGGCCGTCAGATAGTCCGTGCAACAACTAGTGTTGGAAGTGAGGTCCATTACTTACGATGGCTTACAAAGACTAGGCAATGTTACCTAGCAGTTTCCTGATATTCGTCACCTCACTGACGCCGGTTTATATCAATGCACTAACGTGGACATACGTTGAATCTATCCCAAATGAAGTAAGTTAAGTTTAGTTTAAACACGGAATTGAGCCACCTCGATGCAGGTGCGGTAGTGACTCCTAAGAAATCTAGCTTCATCTCTACTGAGATAAGATTTGGATTTTTTTCTAGCTTAGCTTTGATCGAAGTAATTTATTCCCACGGCAACTCACATATCACAATGAGGCACGAGTGAGAGCGATATAAGACCACGAGCCACTCAGTTTAACAGTGTTTCCATGCAGATGAAACTCTGTAGAAATGAGCGAAGCGCTGCCGTAATATTATCCATGATGGGAGAGGCGGTAGAGAGTTTTGAAAAGTTGACACTAAAACTCAGACAAAGCGAGGGAAGAGCTCATAAGATGATACATAAGAATTAGGCTATACATTATTGTTGTACCTTACCGCCGTGGCTGGTGCCACCAGTGTTACCAGTGTTTTGATTATTTTATTGTTCATTTATTTCATTGATTCGTTTCACATTCGAACTGCATCAAAGATGGTGGCTTACCGCACGACGAGATTGTGTGCGAAAAATGGAGCTGCAAGGATGATCACTTTGTCATTTAACACTGGCAACACCGGTATAGTCAACTATGCCGGATAATAAGCAAGTCATTTGAAGTAAAGCTGATTGCAAGTGCGGTGAGGTCGAGGATCATGTGTTGCCAAAAGGGGTGGACGTCCATGCATCACGAACATTACAAATTGTACCAGCTGTCCGCGAGAGGTGGAGCCTTACCAGCCTTTCGGCGACGTATACTTACTCAAGCGGTTGACCGAGATGATTTCTACACAAAAATGACATGCGCCGACCGTGCTCGCAAGCAGCTTTTGCAAATGACTTAGTCATCGTACGGTACACAATCATTACAGCAGTAACAGTGGTGCTACCGGTAACGTCATTAACGATGGTGATGTAAGTCGAATTCTTGGGGAGATTACAAATATAGGTAACTGTCAACTGTACGAACTGGCCTCAATGCTTTATTCCAGTACAGATAGCATCGTAGATAAAGTTCCTCAAGTTCTTGCAGCATTTTAACCGGGCATCTGATCGCCGCAAACTTGGCTAGTGCGTACGGTCGATGAGTCAAACGAATAATTAAAGGAGTGCACTCGTGTTAAAAAAAAGTTGGGCTTGTGGTCACTGCATATTGTCTTCGAAATTTTCTTCTGATGAATAGACACATAAAGCTCAATGCATAAAATAATCTACATGGCTGAAATAGCAGCTACAATAGAAGAAAACTATTGGAAACCGGTAAAGTGCGAAGTTCATTTGGAAGTTCCAGGATCAAAGCAATGCTTCGAAGTACCAGGCAGCAATCAAATTTGTGAACACCGCGGACAATAAAGATCAATGCGACAAGGATACAATCAAATTTAATCTTGGTTACGTAACGAATTTTGCAAAAAAGGTAAGAGTGTAGCAAGGTTAAAGTTAGTTTACTAAAGGTAAAGTATAATTAAAGTCAGCTTATATTCTACCACATGCATTTCTTTTACGGGGACCATTCGACACTTTTCTTCTTATGTCGTTTTCGTATCCAGATCTGCAGTCATTCAATCGCCACACTTTTAGTTGCAGTCGAGAGTAATATCAATTTCAAACGGGTTAGGTTGGTTTTGGCTTGCAAAGTCCCAACCTTACGCGCGATAAGAGAAACAAACTTCTTTACTTCACAATAGTACTATTTTGCTTCGTGTTTCGCTGAGAACAATCAAACAGGAAGCTAAGGTCGATTGCGCGGATTCCGTCTCGTATTCCGTAAACGTTCGCGAGCGTGGCGCCACTGCCGTCGACTGCATGCATCAAGCGCATACTGAACGTAGCCCGCAAGGCACTGATTCAAAGGCGCGCTAAACACGCTCAAACGGCGAGCAAACAACAGCGATATAGCTGATTGCGTGCAGTTGGCCATGTTTTATTTTCTCCTCTAAACGTCGTATTTCGCCGCAGCTAGATATTGAAATCCTAGGAACGTCACTGCGGGGCGGAACTTTCTCACCCAAGCCATAATCTCGCAAATAAGCGGCATGCCTGCCGGGCACAATCGGACTTGCTATAATTACAGCTCCTTAAGAACCATAATATTGCAAGCGCCACCCAGCGAAGCAACTATTTGGCACCCTCCCAAGAAACTCTCAAAGAAAAATGCGATAACCTTGGGTTACGCGCAACTTTAGATCGACAATTCACATTAGAAAGAGCGAGAACGGCCACAACATGCGTTTTCAAAGCCCACAATCTAAAATGGGACAGTTCTCGCTAAGGCTGAAATCTAAAGCCGCTTGGAGTCCTATAATTTTAACTGTGGCAGCATGAGTACTCTGCTCAGAGCAGGATTTTAAAAGGCAGGAGAACCCCCATGGCGTTAGTTTTGCAGCTTCACCATAATTCTTGGATGTATTCAAACATTACGCCCTCGTACTTGCGCGATAGCGTGTCCACTTTCGCATGCCGCTGAAGACCCAAAAACCCCCACCTTGTCCGTACGCTTTCTTCATATGAGATTAAGTCAGCAAGGCGACTAAGGCTGGCTCATTGCCAGGGAACTTCTTAGTATACTTAACTCGGAACGGTGTCAAACGGTAGAAAAAAACATCTTCTTACTGCGAGAAGCAACTAAATTCAAATTTGATCAGCCAGGAAATTCTCAGTACTTAATCAAATTACATACTATAGAGAGATGTGGATGAAGCACACCATCATTTTGGAAGATTACTTGAAATTTGCAAAGATGTTCAATTTGGATTCATAGTGTGCACTCTGCGCAGGAAGATCATTTTGACAAAGGAAGTTTTTATCCATCAAAACTCCATTGCAAAAGTATGGTATTGCTATAAATTTGACATGCTTTTTCTAGGGTAATTCGGTTTCTTGTAGGAAAAACATTCTTGGTCTTCAAATAACCAAAAAATCAAATTGCTGTCAATATTGCACAAACATATATTTTTGCACAAACGGCTCATTCGTCAGGAGCTTTATCACACCTTGTTACTCAAACAAAGCCTAGTTTCCCATCTAGGGCACCCCAGATTTTGTTCGCCCAATGAAATGCCCTTTAGATTGTTGGTAGATGCTTACTCTGCCACTTTGAATCGGCCTTGCTATCTTTAAAAATCTTCAGGCCGGTTAGCCTTACCGGCGGGCTCGTTGACACCCAAAAATGGGACATTTTAAATTTTGGAGTATGCAAAATTCTCGAGCTTCTTTCTGACTAACGAGGGAAGGATACTTGGTGACCGTGGCCGTTTGCAATAAGATGCATACTAATAGGTGCGTCTTGGAACGCTGATTCTAAATCTATGTTCAATATCTGCTGTGTGACTCCCTGAACGAAGTTATGAACTTTTCCTTATTGTTTCTGCGAGATTTAAGCAGTCAAAATAGTCAGTGTCTAGGCTTAGACTCTGATGTGTCATTGACAGCTCAACGTGAAACTTTATTTAATCTGGACGATTTTTTGTAGTGCATAAGCGGACATTCTGACGATAGTGAATCCTGCATCAAAACAGTGCAAATTTTGGTGACAAAAAATGTTCATAACTTCTTTCGGAAGAGCGCACAGCAGATAAAACAGATTTGGAATTAGCGCTTTAATTGCATTTAGCGGTGTACTTTTCATTTCAAAAGGCCACGGTCACCAAGTATCCTTTCCTTGTAAGCACTCTTTCCTTCAACTTTACAAGCTTGGTCTTGAGCCTCGTGTTCTGCTTCCATCCGTATTTTCTTTAATCTTCTCTTGAGGGTGAGAAGAGGCTGCTTTCATTTGTATGAACCTTCTTTCCATTTTTTACACTCTGGTGCACCTCGAGTGTATCTACAAAAAAGATATTTGATATTTGATATTTATTGCACATAAGTGCGCCATTTCAATCATAATGCATTAAGTGTAGACTATAAAAACAAAAAATCCAGTAGAATAGAAAAAAGACGTTCGAATAGTAATGGTAGGAAGAGGAACGTCAAAGCATCAAGAAAGATCGACATACTTTAACCGCAACACTATGGCATCACGTAGTTTGGGTCCAATCTGGATAAAAGTGTGATGAAGGCTTGTATTTGACTGCTCCATGATTATAATTATCAAAATAGAATAGTGTGATCCATGGAGATGGACCCAAGCCCCCTTCTGTTAGCAAAATGATTTTGATTAACAAACAGCCAAGGTTTGATGGTGGCTGTACTTTTTGACTTCACCAGACCAGTAAGCCAGGGTGAGCAATGATTCTAAGTGAATTGCAATAAGGGTTGTAGTGAATGGGTAAGTCATAAATGAGCGGGAAGAATCAAACTTGGTAATTGTTATCTGTGGAGAAGGCAATCATGCCAACTCATTTGCCAGCAGAAGCTCTTACAATCTATGATCTATGACTTAATAATAACGGGCTAAGGGTTGTTTACGTCTGTTTGTCTGTGTGTCTGTGTGTACGTCTGTCTGTCACGAAATTCATAGAACGAGGTGCAGCAAAAGTCTTGAGCTGAAAATTTGCTCATAGCACCTTGCCAGCATCTAGACCCATCATACAAAATTTCGTAAGGATCCGTTGAATTGATGCTACAAAAATTGTGCGTCAAACGGATCCACACGGCTTCAATCCAGCAAAACTGAGTTCAGATTTGAATTTTTGCAAAGTCAATTGCCTGACAAGTAATTCTGCGCCCCATGAATTCTAGAACAAAAAGTGCTCAAAAATTTGCTTTTCTGCGAAAACAGCGCCAAAAGGTGGTGATCGCGTCAATAGTCGATTTGACAAGATTTTACCTAAAATTTTGAAAAGATTCTTACACGAAAATGTAGCTCAAAGTGACTATTACCCTTATGACGACTAATGACAAGCCAAAAAAAATTCAGTAATCCATTCAAATTCGCAGGTGTTTCTTTGCGAAAAAGTTTTCTTTCCTAAAATTACCGATCTTACGTGGAGATGCTTCAAGAATGAACAGTTGCTTACAATTTGATTGTGATGTATAATATCGCGTGGTAAGTTTTAAAGTCATCTTTATGCGAAGATGAGAAAGGCATACGGATAGGAAAGCCAGTGCGAACCTCCGCGAAGCGGAGGTGACGCACTGGTAACTTACAATAACGGGCTAAGGCTGTTTACGTGTTTTTGTGTGTGTGTAAGTCTGTATGTCTGTCTGTAACGAAATTCGTAGAGCGAGTTCCAGCCAACGTCCTGAGCCCAAATTTTGCACATCGCATGCGGCCATAAGAGCCTACCGTGCAAGAGCACGAGTGGTTTTGTTGCATGGATACCTCAGAAACTGTGCGTCAAACAAAACCATTTGGGTTCTGGCCAGCAAAATTGGTTCCGTATCACCACTTTTTGCAAAGTCGGAGATGTTTGGCATGCTGATGTGCAAGCCATGGATTTAGTCCAAAAAAGTGGACAAAAGTTTACTACTTTACGAGAACGACGCCAAAAAGGAATGGTTGCGTGATGGTTAATTTGCCATGGTTTTACCTGAGCATTCGAGAAAAATTTTGCACAAAGATATAGCTCCCGTTGCCTACTGTCCTTATGGCAGTTATCAAGCAGAAAGAGTCCAAAAACCTATTCAAATTTGTATTTGTTCTATAGCGAAAAGTTTCATCCACGCGAAATCGCCAATCTCACATGAAAAAGCTTTGGAATGGGTAGTTGTTTACAATCTACTCGCGATAATCGACACTGCGCGGTGAGTTTCATTGTCACCATCAGTCAAGAATGAGTAAGACATATGAAGTAAGACCAGAGCGAGCCTCTGCGAAGCAGAGGTGACGCACTGGTAATAGAATAAGCAAAGCGGGGCTCGGTTGGTGAAGTACCTAATATTGAACAACCTTGCCCAGATGATTCCTGGGAGAGTCCAATGACTCCGAAAAAATATCAAATAGTTTCACTTTTTGTAATTCAGTTAAAAGCAAGTCAACAAGCTATATTGATTGAAAAGAGAAGCAAACTGATTAGACCTAAACTAACCCGACGGGAATATTGGGTTACTAAGACATATGAAAGAAACTAATATGAAAAAAAGAGAACAGAAATTGATGGTTGTATTTGGTATGCACGCCCTCCTATCTCCTTCACTACATTGTGATTACGAATGTCTTTGCCAATAACAACTTCTTGAGTAATACCATTCACAGTAGGCTTGTCTACCAGTACGGCTGAAGGAAAGAAAGTTACTTTAAGAAAGTATTACTGACTAAACAGAAATTGCTGCAAATCAACTTTCCTCAATTTTGATTTGAATCTAAAGCCGCAGGTCGAACTGAGAATGCTCGAAGGTAAATACTGTAACCATCTCGCTCCTCGGCAAAATAAGTTGTTGTACGTCAGCAAAAATTGTCTTATTTTGATCCTATTATAATGCAAACTGAAAGAGGGGGAGCCTGGACTGATAGGCATAAAAACCCAGTACTTGCTTGCAGGAATCCTTAATTCTTTCCGTAATACTCGAAAGCAAAAAACAAGATCAAAAATTTTTCTGCGTTGTTCTAAGCTTTTCATATTTAGTTCTGCAAGACGGTTAGAGTAAGACGGGATTGAAGTATAACAAACGTGTGAATGTTTGTTGAACTTTCTCTATCTTTCTGATATCTCTTTTCAGATATGGATTCCAAATCTGTGAACAGTATTCTAAATGAGGCAAGACAAAAGTTTTGTACAGTTTTTTGAATACGGCAGAATTTTGAGAATGTACAGATCTGAAAATAGCATATAGTACATTATATGCTTTTTTGGTGATGACATCTATATGTTGAGAAAATTTGAGAGACGGTTCAATCATTACTCCCAGATCTTTCATCAGCTTACATTCTGCTAATGTGATTCCGTTAATTTCATAACTAGCTCCTTCACTTCCCCCGATATGCATGACCGCACATTTGTCAAGATTTATGGGAAGATCCCATTCATGTGACCAACGGAGCATTTTTTCGAGGGACGTCTTCAAAACATTACGAATCTCATCATAGTTTGAGGAGTCATACATTCCATAAAGTTTTACATCATCAGCATACATTTGTACTTTAATATGAGGTGACGTCTTCAAGACTGAAGGTAGATCCATTGTATATATCAAAAAAAAATAAAGGCGAAAGTGCGCCTCCTTGGGGAACGCCACTATCACAGAGTGTCTATTCGAGTAATCAAGCCCAATTTTTACAGTCATGTGTCTGTTATGCAGATAAGATTCCAACCAAGAAAGTAACTTTCCAGAAACTCCAAGTCTTTTGAGCTTTATCAAGAGCTTTTTTGGCACACTTTATCAAAAGCCTTCGAAAGGTCAATGAAAATGATATTAACTGATTGGTTATTATTGACCGCCATTGTCCATTCAAAAATAGTATCTGCTAAGTTGGTTGTGGTACTAGCCCCTTCAAGAAGCCATGTTGCTCCTTGAGGATGGCACCCGATCTCAAAAGCCATAATGTCAGCTTATCTCTCAGAATCTTTTCCATAACCTTGACCGACGAAGAGGTCATGCTGATCGGGCGAAATTCTGTCACCAGTTCTGGGGAAGATACTTTAGGAATCGGTGTAATCAGGGACTCTTTCCATAAGAGTGGAACTTCGCAGGTGAGCATAGAAAATTGAAAATGTGTGTCAAAGGCTTGCAAAGTGATTCTGCACATTCCTTATATATGATCTGGGGTATGCCATCGAAAGGTTCTGTAAGTGAAGGCTTCAATGACTTTAGAATCCTGTAAACATCAGATTAATCGAAGTATACGTCGCACAGATGTCGATTAGCTTGAGCTGCGACAATTTCATTCTCTGTTAAAAAATCAGGAAAAATCAGGAAATCAAAATCAGGTTGAAAACGCTAGCGAAATAATTAGCAAGCGCATTGGCTTTATCGGAATTTGTACTGTAGGTGCCATTTGTATCTTTCAAAACTGGAAGACGGTGATTTTTTCTAAATATCTTCTTGACATAGCAGAGCAAGTATTTTGAAGAAGCTTTAGCAGCGAGTTTACGCTCTTTATGTGCAAGAAGCTTCTTCAGATGGTAATCGATATCCTTGCATATCTTTCTGTTTTTTTTTATCCTCGCATGTGTCCCGCTTACGCAGGGTCTGCTTTTCTTGTAAGACGTCGTCGGGCTTGAATGCGCGTCGCCTCCGGGGGACGCTCTAGCATTTACTCGAGATACTTTATGAGACAGTCTGCACTTGTGATGCGACGGGGTGTTTCTCAGCCGGCTTGTCGCACGCCCTTTTTTGGAAGGGCAGCCTGGCGCTGGAATTGTGAGTAGAGTTTTACCGCAGAAATTAGGCTCAGGGTAATATCGATCCCGTGACCTTCAGCACGGCAATGTTACGTAGAGCACTAACCACTAGACTAACTCTGCTCATTCTTGCATATCTTTCTGTATAAGGCATTATTAAGTGGATTTTTTTAGAGAAAAGAAGAGACGATTTTCTTGCTCCAGCAGATTTCTTAGGTGTAGAGAATATTTTGAGTTATGATGTTGAACTCGAAAAGGCACAAAAATTTCAAGGGCATCGTACATAACTTTGCAAAAATTTGATACAAATCATCAACCGAGGAGTACTGGTTGAACACATTCATCCAGTCAACGCTTCGGAGGTAAAGGTTCAATGATGAAAAATCTGTGTTGACAAAATTAGGCATGGGAGAAAGATTATACAATAGTTTATCTCAAAAGTAAAAGTGATCATAGAATGGTCAGAATTAGCGAGAGGTGCCAATATTTGTACGTTTGATATAATCTGTGCTGATGAGAGAATCAAATCAAGGATGTTGGTTGCATGTGTCGGAAAATTGACAAGTTGTTTCAAACCAAGTTCAGCAAAAAGATTGACTAATTTTGCAGATATGTTATTGAGAGGTCCAGCACAGCTCCAGTCGATCTGTAGATTGAAATCGCCAATAAGCACTGTATTTGAGTTTTCACTAGCGAGATCAGCCATTAGATCAGTTAGTTGATCATCGTCAATCATCTGGCTATTCGGAGGTCGATAAACTAAGATAGTGCTTATTTTCAAGAGCTTGGTTTGTGAAATTATAGCGACACATAAAATACTTGCTTTGATTCTATCCCATACATCAAGTCTCAAAACTAAGAGTTCAGCATAAGCTAGAACGCACACTCCGCCACCTCTACCTGTTGTCCTATCTGATCGAAAAACGCAATAAGGAAAGTTGCCTACTATTCCACTATCAAAAATTTCTGGAGAAATCCATGTTTCAATGATAAAAACAAGATCAGGCTTGTAATCAGAAAGAAAGGCATGAAACTGTGGAATTTTGTTTATCAAACTTCTGGCATTGATTAGATAAGCTCTGATTTTATGCTGAACACCGTGCGAAATTATGCGTTTTCCGATCTCCGATTTGCCAGATCACTAACTTTTACCAAATGCCCGCGAAAAACTACCCATTCTTTGTTCTTCTTTCCTTTATTGCGTTCTCGTGCCATCTCTCTGAGTTCGAATTCCTTCTTGCGTTCATCTTGCGTCATACTCCGACGAACAAATAAACAAATATACATAATGATAAATATAATATAAATAACAAATATAACATATATAATAACAAATATACAGCAAACCCAGCGTGTCGTAGCAAGTGAGCATTAGCAAAAGCACGTCTCCAGTAAAAGGTAGACGGTAGCACACATTTGATAAGCCTGGAATTTGGTGCGTTCGATTTTCCCATCCAGTAAAGCTCACTGGGGGGGACAATCGATGTCCAGGGCTTCTCAAATTGAATCTACCTTTTCTTGGAGATATTACGTCTTTGCAGTGCTCCCATGTTTTCAGGTGGCTCCTCCACTCCACTGATAACAAGGCTACGAAATCTTTTTTCATCATCAATCATAGCTGAAAACTCTTTCGGCAATTTTTCTACCAACACTTTCAGCATATCGCCTATGATGGGGTCTCGATTACGCTCTATTATCGAGGCGATCAAATTTTGGGCGGTCATATTGTTATAATCCTCGATACCCGTTCCGTTGTTCTGTTGCGTCGAATTCATGTTTAAACCTGTAAGCTGAGAGCCACCTGGGGATTTTTCCTTTTTGCGCGCTTTAATACATTTGACTGGCATGTTAAATAGTTCTCGTGGATTATCGATTTTGCACAAAAAAATGTCAAAAACAATGAAAATTGACGATGCTGGAGTAAAATCCACAAATGACCGAAGCTGTACAGAACTCGAATAAGATGAAAGGTGTAACTCCAAAAAAAGCGAAATAAACACTCACAGAACACGATTACTTGGAAGTAGGGAGAGAGCACAAAACTGGCAACCGCTCGCCAACTCGGACACGAGAAGATCTCAAGAATGAATAAAATATTTAGTTTTTGTTCAAAAGCGACTCAATAACCTCCACTGAGAGGTTTTGGTTTAGCATTGGCGTTGCTAAACCTGAAACAAATTTCACTGGCTTTTCGTCCGTCGCAACTGTCTCCTTCCAGTACGGATATCTGATGACTAAGCGGTGGTTCTCTGGCTTCTGACGAAGACGAAAGCGTTGAAACGTAAGCCCGTTGATACTGACTAATAATGGACCACCTATCAACCTGTACGACACAAAAAGAACACACAATATTTACAAACAAGTCTCACTTTGAAGGGAACATTCTCGAAAAACTCTGCACAGGCGACACACAAGCAGGCTAGATACCGGTTTTGGGGTAGGAGCTAGATTGATAGCTCTTCACACCTATAAGTGCAATATATCTCCCCCCCCTCACCCCATCCCCCACCCCACCCTCCCCAAACAAACTTACCCCATAACTACTACTACAAGAGTCGTACACAGATACCCTCCTTCTTTATCCCACCTTCTCATATCTCCATAGGCTTTACGCGTGGCCATCATGCTTTACAAGCTTCGTTCTCTGCATAAATAACGCTTTCAAGCAAGCGCGGGAATTCATGGTAAGGTGCTGAGCTAAAAAAGCCTTTGGTTTTCTGATTTCCCCTTTATGGCAAGGCCCTAAATGCCTCCGAATGTTCTTAGAGGTTCTTAATCCTCAAAGCCCTTGATTAGAGTCAATAAACATTTGGTAATTCTCTTTGCACCGGAATCTGAGTCAAAGAGCCTTACACAAATGAATTGAGAAACATCAGCACTTTTATCGCACGGACTGTGCGTAATGCAAAGCACAGCGGAGCAGCTAAAATGTTACGAGAGCACAACTTGGTACTGGTACAAGTTGAACATGCGGCGTGCTCCGCAATTAACAGCTGTTCCGTGAGGTTGACGACTCGACCACAACGACCACTACTGGGACACCCTTACATGATATGTCTCAAATAAACGCGATATTTGGCTTGTCCTGCCGTCCCCAATTTTATGTCAAGCTCAAGTGAAAGTACATCTATTGAATTAAATATGGTTAAGGATACACTATGTCAGACAACAAAAGATTACGAGCTTTTGTGCAGAAAAATGGATGTTTTTGGGAAGAACACACCTTGGATAGAGGTATTTCACTCATTTTCTAGTCAGTAATTTTGCCATAAGGCGAATGTCTAACTGCTAAATGTCAATGCGTTATTTTAGAAGACAATAACGACCTTCTCATCAAAACATAAAGAGCAAAAGTAAGTGAAACAGGCAATCAATCGTTTCAATTAATTCAAGAGTTAATTACTTGTTGGCACTCATTGTAAGAGAAGCGCCCCTTATACGCTTTCCTCAGCTTGCGCTTAGGCTATGGCTAATCTCTGGTAAAGGCGAGCAGTTATTTCTGTAGTGCGGGTGCATTCTATCTTAGTAGTTTCACAAGCTACGTTAGCCGATCATAAGAAACCCTTGCCTTTTCCCAATTTTGTTAATTATAGCAGTTCTTATTGTTAGTGAATTCGGCGCTGCAGACCAAACATGTAAAACTCTCTCCGTACATAATTATGTGGCGATCTCCATAGTCAGCTAAGTCAGGGCCCGGCACAGATCGTTCCAAAACAGGGTGGATGTTTTCAAGGCGAAAAAGCAAAGGGGAAATCTTTCATAAAGGGGATATCGTTTATGTGGGTCCGAAAAACACAAGTCAGCTTTTTTTAGTCGACGTTTCCTCCGGAAAGGGTCAAAGGGGACTTTGTAGAAATTTGCGAATGTCAGAGGGACTTCGTTTTCAAAAGCCTACGTGCGACTAATGCGTGCCCGTGCCAAGTTCTGTACTGACAATTTCAAACACAAGTTTACGACTTTAGCTGTATGAGAAATTTTCGAATTTTTCCATATTTGTTTATGACAACGAAAACGTTATTGTAGTTCAATGTCTATTCCGTATAAATCTTCAAAGCAGTGTTGCGACGATAAGCTTCCATTTTATTTTTACATTTTTTTCCACTCAATATGCATCTTTTGATAATCTTAGCCTCGAAGCTTGATGTTAAAGTAAGATAAATCTGCGTTCACTTTTTGCGTAGAGTTTTTTACGATTGTGCATGTTTATAAAACACCTTTGGTAGCTTTGAGATCGATTAAATCGATATTGTGGTTGAATTTCATTTCTTCATATCAAGCTCGTTGGTAAACTGTGAAAAGTGCTCCAAATCTACCCTTAAAGCCAATAACGAATTGCATTGTAGCATTCTGAATAGTTTAGGTTACCAGCATGCGTAAAACGGCTTTACAAACAGCTCGAAATTCCTCCCTGGCCAAAGCCAGGTGAGTACTCTCTTACTGTTCAAAGTGTTTGTGTAGGTGGTGGTGTAAAGGCTAGATCAGCGCATACCAAACTGAAGAATCTTACGCATACGCGTACTTCCGATTTGAGAGATCGATGGATTTGCGGCTATTGCTCGCACATTGAGCTTTCTCAGCTTTTTCTTTGCTGGCAAACGCTTTTCCACCATCAGAGTTTTCAATTACCTGAAGTGATAAGTACGGTCTCTATAACTGGTTTGCGACCTTGCGGCTTCCTTGACAATCCGCAAACACACCGATCATTATTTGGCATCCCTGTGCTTGTATGCTGACAAGTCACTTCAAAAATAACTCAAGCAGAGAGAACATAGGTAAGTATTTGGTGAATTGCTGTCAAAAGAGTGCTTGGAAGGGAATGGTTTTGTACCTTATCGAGGACTAGAAACATTGTTTGGTATAAAAGGCCACAAAAAATACATTAGATATGTGGTAAAGTGAAGCTAATGGTTAGGGTTCAGCAAAAAGTGACGAAACAATATTTTCCAAAGTGTCCTTCAATAGAAGAAAAAACACGGCATGCCTTATGAAATTCTCAAGAGGGAATGGTCAGAACTCAACCCAGCCATTCCAAACAAGCTGCACACCCTCTCACTCGCCTTGAAGCGCTAATCTTGAATATATGTTCATTATCTGCTACAAATTATGAGGAAAAGTTACGAGCGTGCAATTGCGAGGCAAGTGCGATTTGTCAAGTATTCTAAAACGCATGTTCCACATGAAAGTTTCAAAAGTTAAGTTTTTAGTTGGCGTGATTTCCATGTGATTGAAATACTCATAATCATTGTAATTAGCAATCACAAATCACACATCAGGCTTCCTTCTAACAAATTTCGTCCTTTGAGACCCGAATAAGTTCTCATATTCAACTGCACATAACTCCTTTTAGATTATCGTTTAGCAGATAGTAGACATAATCTGGTATATAGCTTGTTTGCAATGTCTGAGTCACGTTCTGACCATTTCTTCGTTAGGAAAACGAGGTTAAGAGGAAACAAATTCAAAGACTCATTAGATATGATTTTATAAAAGTATGCCACGCGTTCTCCGCCTTCCAATCACAGACATTTTGTGTAAGTCTTCCTGTACTTCGCAAATACTCTTGTGCCGAACAGGTCTTTATGGTGGATCTTACTGCGTGACGTTTTGACAGAAATCTCTTTCTTCGGGGGCCTCAAAGGGGATTGCAGTTTTGTATCTTTCAATTTGTACGACCGAGTGCCTTACCTAGCGTTCAGACCTGTCTAGTATCAACGTACTAGCAAACAATTCAAAGTAACGTCACCAACTCAATCCACCGTAAAACCAGTAGACTGCATAACGACCAGGTCTCCAAAGAGGACGATACCTGTCGAAAAGTTAGGTAACAAATCACATAAGAACCTGTTCGGCATAAAATCATTTACAAAATCGACAAAATGCCTGCTTCAAAAAAGAGTGCACATGAAATTTTTATGTACCGTTGCTACCTCCACATGGACATCAGATATGCGTCATGTTGTTCGTGCGCTGTTGTAAGGAGCTTCTTCTCCATCAGTCATAGTAATAAATGTCGAAACTTCGCTCAGCTTTTTGTTCGCTTGAGTTTTGTAATCCTTACATTCTTATATCGTAGTTGATCTTTCAGTGTTTTCCCCATAATACAGTAAGATCTGGGCCCAATAGATATTTCTCTTCACTAGTAGGCGATAGGTAATAACGTGGTTTACTAGACACAATACATGACAGTATACAGTAAACAGCAGAGGTTGGTGCGAGATGATCTGTAGGTGAGCGTGCCGCTCTGCAGCAGGGGGTTCCGAGACGTCTCTCTCCTACACCCTCATGTGTCTCTTTTATATCGGTTGGCAACCATTATCAGATCGTTCTCAGCTATGCTGATTGTAGAAATATGTCAACATCTGCATATGCCACCGTGGGATATCGTTCCCTCTTACACCTCCCCATTTTACCCAAAAGTCCTGCAGGGACTTTCTAAGAGTTTGCCGTGACAGTTTATTCATCTTTTTCCGGGACATTGGATTCGAGTGCACCAATAACAAAAGCCTCAAGAGTCTCTTGTAAAAATAAGAGAAGAGCTGGCTGTCTTGTAATTCTGGTTATAGTCATCTGGATTTGGGTCCACGACCCTTGGGGAGAATATCGGCTCATGAGGAAATGCTAGCTCTAAACCTGTCAACGAATATCAGTGCGCAGTCGCTCCAAAAACTCTACCAAGTTTTGCTCCTGCTGTACTGCCTGCCCTTGTCCCGCCTAGCCTCACGCACCAAATTCACAAGTCTAATGGCGAAAGCTACTACCGTTTCCCCTATTTCTTGATGACATGCCAACAAAGTCTGTCGCGCCATATAACGCTGCTGCGGAGTGTCAAAGTACTTGGCTAGGTGCGCGACTATTTCATCGTAGTCCTGGCGCTCGATGTGCGAAAGTTCCTCGACTTTTCACGTGTCATACCGCCTAAGTACGTTATAAGAATATTAGCTTTGTGTTCTGAGGACAACGCCCCTTGACGGGTCCGCATAATATCTTCAAAACGGCGGAGCCATGTGTTGAACTGCAATGTGTCCCCACATCCCGTATATGCCGACAAATAAATGTGGTGTCCTTCCGGGTTGCAGACCGCTACTTGGGGCAAAGTGCTTATACGAGTGTCAATGGCGTCAACCTTGTCCGTAATCCCCTTGAGAAGCGCCGCACTATTGTTATTAAAGCGCTGTACTAGCTGCGAGGTGTTATAGTGCGTTTCGTACCACATATTAGTAACGACGTCGGATGTTGCATCCCTAAGAGCTTTGGCATCTCGACCATGCACCACATCTGAATCCCCCACATCACCTAGTGTAGCTCTAAGAGTGGCCATCATTTTATCCGGGGTTGCTGTATCTGTATCAGTGTCCTCTACGGGACCAGTAGTAGGTTCTAAGCTCTGTGTTTGGGTAACTACGACCCCTGTATCAACAGAATGGGCATGAGAGCGAGTCACCGGAGGTGCCATTCGAGGAAAGAGCGCAAGAAAAGTACGATGGAAAACGAAGAATATGTGAAATGTGTCTTCTTCTAACGCTGCCATGTATATATACGAGTCCGTTATCAGATAAGAAAAAAATATGTAAACATATCCCTGAAAACCATTTTCCCCGACCCTTATCTTCTGTCTATCTCATGAGAAAAAACATAATTTTTCCCTATGTTTATAACTCACAAGCTTTCCGCGCTCTGTATCTGGGAGTGCGATCACATCGCCGACATAAACATTTGTCCGCGGCGCTCGTTGTAGTTCTCGCGGCGCCTTATGCGCGGACGTTGCATGACGAAACATAATGTTACATAACCTAGGCGTAATAGATGAAAAGATCTGTAAATGCATAGTCACAATGCACTAAATCTAGCTAATTCTATACAAGAACGCTCAAAACTCTATCACCGGTGACTCGGAGCAACGCATTACAACCACTACTTCAACTTCAGGAAATCTCCATAGCTGCAGCTTACTCACTAGCGTTCTTTCACGTTTCTCAACACTTGATCGATCACCATTCCAACAGTTTAACGCCTTGTCGGGCCACTACTCATGAGACACGCGCGATACTTCAATTCAAAACTCGACACGAAACTTCAATGCTCCGATCCAAAATACTTATACACTCATCATTTAATCACTCGCGAGACATTTTCCCAAAAACAAGATAGAAAGGCGCCAAAAGAAAGGTCAAAGGAAATCATAGATAGCGAAATCACTATTGAGAAGATGGTTAGAGATAGATGTATGAAATGATCCTAGTTCTACATGCACTTTTTCGTCCATGCTAAGAGAAAGAAAACCACACGAACCTGATTTTTGATATTGATAACCGTAAAAATGAAGAAAATTGAGCATGGAACATTTTCAAAGATCGTTCGTTGCCCACTGCGGGGCTAAGGTTAGTTAGTTCCAAAAAATTACTCACCTTACATCCAACTTGCTGTTTGCACTCGCTGCTACCAGTAAGATCTGGGCCCTATGGATATTCTGCTTACTGGTTTGCGACACAAAGTCGTAATAATATGATTTATTAGACACAGTACGTGAAGACACGGAAGAAACAGCAGAGGTTGGTGCGAGATGATCTGTGGGTGAGCGTACCGCTCTGCAGCTGAGGGTCCGAGATCTCCCTCCAACAGTTTCATGTGTCTGTTTTATATCGGTTGGCAACCATTATCAGATCGTTCTCAGCTATGCTGATTGTAGAAATATGTCAACATCTGCATATGCCACCGTGGGATATCGTTCCCTCTTACAATACTCTTTCGCTAGTTCAACCACAAATCAATTAGCAAAGGAGATATTATAGATTTCGAAGCGGAAGCTGCCAAATGCTTGCTCTGTAGTGGACCTAAGATCTAAATATGTAAGGGTTACAAAACGAAATCCAGCGGCCGTATTCATCAATAAACCAGTCGATTCCGCGACCCAACGGGTAGTATTACCCACTAGATCGGTATTCACGAAGTTATTGGGTTCGCAAATCTACCAGTTCTCTTTGTGAATAACGACCCAACCCAGTGGAACTGTTTTCGCTTACACACTGAGTAGTAACCCATTGGGTACGTCAATAAATACGGCCATAGCTTTAAGCAGGGTCAAGCACGGGGTGTGGCACGCCACACCTAAGGGGTTGTATTGAGGGGTCAAAAAGGAAAGGGGGTCGTTTATCAAGGTGACACTGTAAAGGTAACATGATGTTCTTTAACGATGTCAGAAAGGCCCATTATGCAAAATGTGACTGATGTTTCGACTTAGCATCGTATACGTACAGTGGGCACAATAATAGGCCCCTAAAGGCATAGGAGCACCACTTTCATAATTGACATGTCAAATAAGAACTGCGGGCCAAGTTTGAGTAAATTCTTAGTTTTCCAGATAGATTTCGAACATTCTAACTTTGTTTAAAAGTGTGTCAACTACTTCTTTTTTGCACTTACTACAAAGTACTACTACTTATTTGCTCACATTAAGAATCCCTTCAAACTTCAAGTAACCTCTAAACTATGGAAAGGATTAAGAGCAAGCCAAAATCACGCTTGTCCTATTTTTCACTTTGAACTTCGAGAAGATTAATCAGGCTCAAATTACTTTGTGAAAGTAACGAGGTTATCAAAGGTTATATATACTTACTCTTGTGTGGCCCTTCCTCGCATTCACATAGTAGCGCAGACTTCGAAAGCTACCGTAACCCATTACGCAGTATTCTCCATTTGCATAAGTAGGGAAAAACGACAATAACTCTCCCTGCGAACAACGATTTTAATTAAAATCTCTGCCGTATAGAGAAGAAAGCTTAGAAGTGGGGAAGATGTAGAAAGCGCAGATACTTGATTGCTTTGTGGTTAAGTTAGTGGGGTGTGGCACAAAACCAAAAAATTGTGACAGCCACAGCTTTTCTGGGGTTGTGCCACACCCCATTAACTATGTCATAAAACATTTGTAGCAGACATTATCTATACGATTCGATAGACACAATCTCGTAGTTGGGCTGAGAGTTAGTTGGTGAAAGCACGGACTTCAAAACGAAAAATGGGACAAAGATTTTGGCTACAAGCTTCTTTTCAAAGTTTGGACGTCCTCTGAAGCAGGATTTCCGAGTTGGGCAAAGAGGGAGCAGTGTTTGGTTTTGGATAAAAAAGAGATGGCTAACTCACCATAGAAACAAAATTAACCATGTTCGAAAATGACATTTTCATGCGACTCTCACACCTTTTACTTAAAGACAGTGTCCCACCAAAATTTAGTTGCCGAGGTTTTCGCATTTTACAAGCCTGTCGGACCCTGTCTAGCATTGTATGGGCTTAAAATCGCATAAAGTTCCCAAAAACCCCGTTTTCTGGAGGCCCCGCGGAAGCGACGTGGACGAGTTGTTATTTCCACTTCAGCCTCAGCCACAGTGGCAGCAATAGAGGGGAGGTGGATGCCAAGTGGAGGGACATGTTCAAACGCGTAAGACGGGAGACCGAAGGTCCGCGCGTACCAAGTCGCTCTCCACGTACCACTTTGAGCGAATTTTTCTCAGCGTGGAGGGGGTTAAATTGAGTGAGACTTGTTGCAATGGCCTATTTAGAGGTCCCTATCATAATTTATAATAACGGGCTAAGGTTGTTCACGTGTTTTTGTGTGTGTATGTATGTCTGTGTGTCTGTCTGTAACGAAATTCGTAGAGCGTGTTCCAGGCAACGTCCTGAGCCCAAATGCACATCGCATGCGACCAACATAAGAGCCTACCATGCAAAAGCACGAGTGATTTTATTGGGTGGATCCCACAGAAACTGCGCTTCAAACGGAACCGCTTGGATTCTGGCCAGCAAAATTGGTTCCGTATCACCACCTTTTGCAAAGTCGGGATGTGTTTGGCATGCTGATGTGCAAGCCGTGGACTTTAGTCCAAAAAAGTGGACAAAAGTTTACTACTTTATGAGAACGACGCCAAAAAGAAATGGTTGCGTAAATGGTTAATTTGCCATAGGTTTACCTAAGCATTTGAGAAAAATTTTGCACAGAGATGTAGCTCACGTTGCCTACTGTCCTTATGGCAGCTACCAAGCCAGAAAGAGTCCAAAAACCTACTCAAATTTGTATTTGTTCTTCTTCAAAAAGTTTCATCCACGCGAAATCACCGATCTCACGTCAAAGAGCATTTGAAATGGGTAGTTGTTTACATTTTACTCGGAATAATCGGCACTGCGCGGTGAGTTTCATTGCCATCATTAGTGAAGAATGAGTAAGGCATATGGAGTAGGACCAGTGCGAGCCTCTGCGAAGCAGAGGTGACGTACTGGTAATAGAATATGTGAAGATCCGCGCGACCTCAATTTTGGTGACACACTGCCTTTAACCCTGCTTGTAAGCCTCCTCTTTTGCCACCCGCTCCGAGCTCTGCTGATAATTCTGCGACACTAAATAAGCTGTAATGCTTGAAACCAGTTTTCCAGAAAAATTGGAAATGGTTTAGGTCTTTTCATCTGTTGATAGGCTACGAATTGTTATGGGCGACTTGCGCTTATAACCTACCAAGCATACCTTACAATGATGGTATTACTACCTGATTGCTTGTTACAAGGACGTATATTAGCAGGGCATTTGACGACCCTAGCTACCGGCCAACCAAAACGCCGCTTTTTTTCGGCTTATAGGTCGTGACCCTGTGAGAGCTCTCAACATTATGTCACAATTCGGAGTGGATTTACAGCAGCTAGAAATCGAGGTATTATGCGAGAATCAAAGCCGCACACTAACCCATGATGTACTTTAGAACATCTAGCATAAGATACATGAGGTCCATATAGCATAAGCTAGATAACATAAGCATCTCGCAGAAATCATCGCTAGTAGCATAACGCAGTAGCACTTCTTCTCGATCCAGGGAAATAGAGTTAATAGAGATCATTGGTTGTGATAAACGTGCTAAAAGTTCTTAAATGTTTGTGAATATACCTATCTAGCCTTCACGTCTTCTTTCAGAAGGAGAAACTACGATTGCACTGATTACTACAGAAGCAAAGCAAACTTCGATAACTAATGCGACGACCCGACCGTCTATCAAAAAAGTGTCTGCTTCCAAAAGTAAAACCACCAAGGCCACTCATGACTCAGGAGATACGAAGTTCGAGGGAACAGTTCCAGAAGTTTCCGAACATGATTCACCTGATGCTTTGAAGAGCTCAAGACTTCCACTCATAGATGAGCATGCCGCCACTGAACACGGTTAGTTTCGTTACCTCTATAAGGGATCATCTTGAACGACTGATTACCATCGTCCAATCGAAAGCTCCCTTGCATCAAATGGTCAGAGACGAATGAAAAACTAGAAAAAGATTTCCGGCGCTTATCACTGCATATGATCCGTAGATTGTGATAGTGCAGTCTTGTAATTTGGCTCAATGTCTGCCTGTATGCATTGGGTTAGCATATAAGTTTTTGTAACTTTTCCCATATTCTTATTCATTCTAACACTCTCATTCTTTGGCATCATGTAGACTGTGAGGTAAGCTGCAAGCCTGCGCAAACCGTTTGTTTTTGATAACGTGTTAAAAAGATTCAACATTTTCGAAATCCTTGAAAACGAGGTTTCACGGTTTTTTGGCTAACAGCGACCGTCAAAAGCTGAATCAAACATATCGAAAAGAATTTATAGGCACCATGTACCTAGAGTCGACACATTACAATCAGTAAAAAAGAAATGAAATCTAGGGAGAAATCAAGATAAGGCGCCATTGAGAAGTAGAATAAGGCAGTTGCATCATGACCCTAGAGGCAACCACCACCAGCTTTCTTTCCAAATTGAAGGGTTATAAGCACTCTAAAGATCTAACATAAAGATCATCCAAAAATATTTTGGTTTCATCTTTCTTCTCCCCGTCCCGAAAAAAAATCAAAATTGCTGCTGATCCGGGGATATAGATTGAAAATGTGCATCTGGTCCTAGCTGTTGGCCAGGCACAAATTACCAAGTGGATCTATTTGAGTGCAAATCAATGTGTTGTGGATTTATAATATAGGCATCATTTACATTACATGAAAAATACTTCCAAAAAATCTAGCTGTCAATGTTTTATTGCTACTACAAGTCTAAGCAACATAATTTCTGAGAATTATGTACAATTTTAGCTCAGTCTGAAGGCACCGAGCAGCCACTAGCTATCGAAGGAGGTGAAGCAGGTGCGCATGTTCCTAAGAAAAGGAAACAAAAGCAGAAAAATACGTGAGCGCTATTCTTTATCTGAAAAATGGTTAGCCAAAGGCATAGTTTTAGGATTCTGTATGTGATTATTATGATTGTTCTTGTCATAATGCACATGGTACTGATCACCCTTCTAATCTTTACAATTCGTTGTTGGAGACAACTTCGTCGTCGAGAGAATCTGCAGTCGAACTCGCGGTCTTCTCACAACAGCACTCTGGCATCCGCTGTGGCTCCCCCTACTCCGGCTACTCCAGCAACTGGAACGCGTCCGGTACCCTCAGCCCAGCCTTCTGCACCTTCCCTGGACTTATGGGCAACAAAGAAGTAGAGAGGAAAGAATCTGATTAAGTGTGTAAAGTAGAATAGAGCAATTAGTATATTTAAGAACGAGTTACCACATAGCACTTAAGTTTCGTGTCAAAATGAGAAAAGGTTGAAAGTCTTTTAGTCTTTTCTTAGTCGTTTACTCTCTTTGTACATTGATACTGTGGGAAATTGACGGCTTGATAAATGTTGGCACGATTGTTTAACCTGAAGTAGGCAAGAGAGTTTTCGAATGTCGAACATTTTCTATATATCAGGGTGAAGGTAAAAAGGACTTCTAGAGAGATAGTAGATTTCTCAGGAAGGAGAGGTGATCGAATTTTGAGAGGTATCAAATTACATTATCTTGCAGAATATACCGATACAAGATTATGTGAGTACTTAATAATTTGCATACTTGCTGAAATGCTAGGTCGACCACTTCGGCAATTTATAAACATCGAAATTGGTCATTAGCCATCTCGAAATCGAAGAATTGTGTTATATACTGCCTTGCAAGTTAACGCAGGGGTTTTGGCTAGCATTTGGTTCTGCTCTCTCAATAATTTCAAGGCCCAAACGGTAAAAAGCATTGCTAAAATAGATCCAACTGCTGCTGCACGTATTCTCCTCAACAGAAATGACGTTTATGCCATTCCAGCCGGCGATGTTTTGATGGTGTCAAAATGTCGTGCGGTAGAGGTATATGAAATCTGAATCACAAAATCAACGATTTTTGTTATCTTTATACCCCTGTCCGCATAGAAAAAATAATCTATTTTGTGCAACCTGGTACTCGCAATCTAATAGCAAAAAGTCCAAAAGCTGACTGCGGTCACTTGCCTTTTGGATTTTTCAATGATGGTACCAACAAATTTAGATCTCCGGAAGGTTACACTCACGTCTCTTTTGTACACACTAATCTTCCATACCATCTCTCAAAAAATAACTTCGTTTTCAATGCGCCGCCTATTTTTCACTCGGTTTGGCTGAGATTTACACGGATTTGCGTCTTCTCAAGAACAAAATGTTAGACAACGCTGCATATAGCCCTATTGAGCAACTTCCTGCGTCAGATAATGACCAAGAATTCGAAGATGGAATAGTACAGACTGCAGACTACTTGGAAACCAATGCAAAACACATACTTCAAACAAACAACAATCAGTTTTGAAAACTTTTGAGCTGTTCACTATAATTCGCATCGTAGTTTACATAATCGTCATAATTCTATCAATCCTTTTTGTTATTTTCCTCTATTATTACTTTTACAGCGTCAAAATCTCCTTAAATTTTATTTTCTTCCATTTGTAAACAAATTCAAAAGATTCGCGTCTCCGCAATGTACCATCTGCGCCACATCAAAGTCCAAATCACCTAGAAATGGAATACGCAGAAATGAACTCGCGCACAAAATACAAATCACACCGGGAATCCAGTGTGATGCAACACGTTGCTGTAGATGAAACTGTCGATGAATCCGGCCTCCAGATTACGCATACCTCCCAATTTTCTTAAATTCAAGCAGTTGATAGCTTCTGTGCAATTACAATCAACTTAAAATATTAGGTTGTCCTGAAAGTTTTATCGGTTTTTTCAAGCCACTACAAAACCACGCACAATAAACACCTAGCGAGTTTCAACATGCATTCGATGCAGCCTTTCCTTCTCTTTCTTATAGATACATTCTCGAGCCACAACCTTGTTTGCTCTTTTCGATATTTGTTAAAATTCTCCATCCGCCAATTTTATGTGGTCAAAGATCGGGTATTTTTTAAGAATTTCATTCTAAAGTTTCCAATATGGTCAAGTATGATTCTAATAGAGCAATTCTCGGACTAAAAGGCCATATTTTTAGATTCTCCTAATCTGCTGTTTATGCCCTGAAAAAAATTATTTCTTAAGAGGTCTCGATTTTTGGCAAAGTCATGAAACACGCAACTGCAGCAAATTCACGGAATATTCAAAGTTTCTCCGAATTGAAAAATGATTCTTATTGAAGATCATTTATGCAACATGACCAAGTTTGATGCCTTGAAAAAGCAGCTTTTTGGAATTTTCGGTACTTTTACGTGGTAAATGCAATCAAAAAGTCGCGGTTTTTATTAAATAACTAGCTGGCTTACCCGGCTCCGCCGTATCCGGACCAAACTTGGCACACATACACTTCGGGCCCCGGCGCGTGTCACAGTCCACTTTTCGTTATCGATCGATGTCGATTTTACCGATTTTTATCGATTTTTTCGCAGAGTTCACCTACAGGGCTAGGAGTTGGCACAGGGGGGTAATCGAGCATGGGGATTCCGAATACAATATTAGTTTTCAGAATTATCGGTTACTTCTATTGATTTTATCGATTTTTTGTAAATTTTGACATGCGAGGCTGGGATTTTGCACAGGGGGTAATCGAGCATACTGATTACGAACACAATATTAGTTTTCAGGATCGTCCACTACTTTTATCGATTTTATCGATTTTTTTGTAAAGTTTGACCTGCGGGGCTGGGAGTTTGCACAGGGGGGTAATCGAGCATGCTGATCACCCCCCTTGGGGATGATCAGCATGCTCGATTACCCCCCTGTGCCAACTCCCAGCCCCGTAGCTCAAACTTTGCAAAAAAATCGACAAAATCGATAAAAGTAATCGATAATCCTGAAAACCAATATTGTATTCGGAATCCCCATGCTCGATTACCCCCCTATGCCAACTCCCAGCCCCGTAGGTGAACTCAGCAAAAAATCGATAAAAATCGATAAAATCGATATCGATCGATGACGAAAAGTAGCCTATGACACCCGCCGGGGCCCGTAGCGTATGTGTGCCAAGTTTGGTCCGGATCGGTTCAGAAATGGAATTTTCTATTCGGAACATACGTACACACATACAGACAGACAGACAGACAGACAGACAGACATACAGACATACATACAAACAGACATTCAGCTTTATATATAAGATTAATTATAAACGGCTTGGTAAACGTGGCCCATGTAATCTAAAATAAACACTATGTAGCCAAAGGTTTGCTCTACGTAACAGTTACCAGCGCTCTTTGAAAGCAAGTACAAAAATTTTTAAAATTCAGGAAAGATTTGGCATTACTGATGAGCTGTTCAAAAGCCATAGCGATAACATCGCAAGGGCAGGGTAAATCAGAGAGAAAATATAGCTGTATGAAAGAGGATAAAAATCTGAATCAAATGGTATCTAGCTTGCCCATGGATTGGTGTTCTGTGAGTTTCAGTGATCGATGAAAGAAACCAACAAAACTTTCGGGACAACCTAACAGTATTTTTATACCATAAAAATCAATAACCTTTCCACTTTCGCACTTTTTGACACGGGCTCTTCTCTAACCATCGTTTCCGAAAGGATTGCAAACCATATTCGCGCACGTATCATACCAACTAGCTTAGTGCAAGGCGTTACTGCTAATGGCTCACCAATCAAGTTCCTAGGACAAATTAAATGCACCATCGATGTCACCAATTCTCACATATAGCTTATGGTTTTGGTAGTTAACAACGATCATTGCTCTGCTGACTTTTTACTAGGGAATGACGCGATAAATCAAATAGCAACTAACATTACTATTAACTACAAATCCAAAACCATACATTTTGATCACCACAAAATTCCCATATTTGATCCAAATTATCCGAATACTAATCCTCTTCACCTGCCAATCTACCTCATGTCCGAAATCACTTTAAAACCCTCATCCGACAACATAGTATTCGCTCCCACAAAACACATTCTTCCGCCTAATTGGGAATTCCTGACTTGCGACAATCCCGGCACTCCACTACCATTCGGTTTGCATAGGTAATCTTTCGTCACACGGTCATCAAGAATTTATCGTTTTACGCATTTTCAACTCAACTCCTTCTTCCGTTACCCTACAACAAAAACAAGTTGGTTTTCAACTTAGAATTTCTTGGTTCTCAAATGTACTGGCCGCCAGCGTTTTCAGTAAATCAGAACGCGCAAAATCAAGATATTCCGAGCTACAAAGAAGCTGCAGAATACATACCCGTTAAAGCTGATATCTCTCAAATTTTGCCGTCTTTTTCAAATAGAACTACACTTCCTCTTACCAAACGCATGATCAACTATTCAATTCTCAGCAACAACCAAGTAAGAAAAGTTCACCATCTTTTACAAAGACATTCTAAAGCATTTGTTGGTAATGACGGTAATTTGAGTAGATACACAGGCTCTATCATTCACGAAATCAATTTTGTGCCTCATGCAAAATTTCCGCAAAAACCTTACCGTGTTCACTTGGAAAAACGACGCGGAATTGGAAGGCAAATAAAAGAAATGCTTAGGACTAGATTGATAGAGCCAAGTAACAGCAAGTTCGCCTCACCTATCGTTTTGGTTAAGAAGAGTTCGGGTAAAGATCAGTGGAGATTTACAGTAGATTACAGGCAGATAAATGCCATTATAGAGAACGAAACGTACTGTATTCCTCATGTACAGGATATTTTGGACCTAGTAAGTGGTAAATCTGTCTATTCTATCCTGGATTTTAAGAGCGGTTTTTTCCAAATACCTCCCGAAAAGAAACATCGAGAGCGTACCGCCATTTGCTCGTTCCTTGGCTTGTTTCATTTCACCGTTATGGCGCAAGGGTCTAAAAGGCGCTCCTGGAACATTTCAGCGCGTAGCTAACGAGTGGATACGTGAACTCAAAGCATGTTGCTTCGCATATATTGACGACATCATGATAGCGAGTCACAGTGTTGCACAACATTTTCACGATCTTGACGAGGTGCTTACTAGGATAGAAAACTTCGGAATGAAACTCACTCCGGAAAAATGCTCTTTCTTTCAAACAGAAGTCAGCTACTTAGGCGTCCTCATAAGTATAAAAGGTACGCGGCTAAATCCTGAAAAAGTCGCAAGCATGGCCAAAATTCCGCGACCCACAAATCAAAAAGCTGTCAAGTCCTTTCAGGAGCAGCATCATATTAGGGTGAACGGTAAAAAATGGGACAGCTTGATTTTCATTACATTTTGGAATTTTTGTTTCTGGCAATAGCAAGTAAGCAGCAACTTAAACGTCGCTTACATGGGCGACCTTCGCTTATTATTCTGACAACGCGTTAAAAGCAAATGACATACCTTTCGAAAGAGCTCTTCATGCTCTTTCGAACGATATGTTAAATGCATGAGATTTCTTTTCAATTTC